AAGTATTTCTCCCAGCTCAGCTTTTGGTTTTTTTTTTTTTTTTTTTTAGTTTGGAGCTAATTTTAGCTAATTAGCTGCGTGGCTAACGTTAGCCACCAGCGACGCTAAGCTCGGATTAGTTAGCTCACAGACCGAGGAGCTTCAGCCTCAACAATAATAAACCAAAACGTAGATTGTTCGTCTTTTAATGCTTTAAGCTGCTGTGGTTAGTGTCGCACATTATCTTCATTATTCAGTTTAAGTTTCAAGTCGCAAGCGTCCTTCCTGTTTCAATAAAATAAACACTAACGCCACTTTTAGGCCCGGATGGCGTCGACTCCTGACCAATCTGGAAGAAAGTTTAGCCTCACATTTTCTGCAGATATTCAACAAATGTTCGTATATAAGACTTAAAAAGTGTGTCTGTGTGAAAGGGTATTTATTAATTACACGTTAAGTTGGTTTTGGTTTGACGCTAATGGAGACCTAAGAGGAAGAAAAAAAAGAGGAATTACCCACCATTAGCCAATGTAATGATGTGTTTTGTGTTTATTATGGTAATTCAGTTATTTTTAATTATTCAAAACGAGGGTTAGCTGAGAGGCTGCCTGAGGTGGAAAACCACATCGATATGCTCATTTTGAATGTGGTGTCCGAGGGCTTTCACTCCCCATTTTCAAGTCAGATAGAAGAAGCAGAATGCATCAGAAACTTCTTCCCTCCCTCAGCCTGTAATGCAGAATTCAAGTCCACATGCAGATACATACAGCCTCATTTTACGATCCCACGATTCCACATTCACGTCCCTTTTTATTATCCGTATTAAATCCTCACAGCTTTTATCTGGGATTGTTTCATTATTTCAGCGCTCCACACCTCTCGCGTTCTTCATATCACGGCAGCTTAATGGCCAACTGCTGGTTGTCTCAGTCGAGGAGAGATCGGGCCAGAGGTTTGCATAGCAAGCTTACGCAGCACATAAGCAATCTGTGGGTGGCCACTGTACATTACACACACACAGAGACACACAGAGACAACACACAGATAATATACACCACACAGCACACACAGAGGACCAGACACACACACACAAGACAGAGACACACACACACACACAGACACACACACCAGAGACACACACACACACACAGAGAACAGAGACACAGACACACAGAGACACAGACACACACACACAGAGACACACCAGACACACACAGAGACACAACACACACAGAGGACACACACACACACACAGACACACACACACAGAGAACACAGAGACACACACACGCACACAGAGACGAGACACACACAACAGAAGAACCACAAGAGACACAACACACAGAGACACCACACACCACACAGAAGACACCACAACACACACCAGAGACACACCACACACACAGAGACAACACACACCAGAGACACACACACACACACAGAGACACACACCCACACAGAGACACACACACACCACAGAGGACACACACACACCACAGACCACACACACAGAGACACACAGAGACACAACAACACACAGAGACAGAGACACCACACACACAGAGACAACACACACACAGAGACACACACACACACAGAGACACACACACACCACAGAGACACACAACACACACGAGACACACAGCACACGACCACACACCACACACACACACACACACAGAGAAGAGACACACACCAACACCACACACACCAGACCGGAGACACAGACACAAGAGACACACCACACAACAGAGACACACACACACCACACACACACAGACAACTAGTGCCTGCTTAACTGGATTTCTGCCTGGACATGCAGTCTACAAGCTGTTATGAAAATGCAACAGTATTTCGCGTCTTTGTAGTTAATTTTGTGCTCAGGAAGGTCTGTGTGTGTCTGTGTGTGTGTGTGCTGTGTGTGTGTGTCTCTGTGGTGTGTGTGTGGCAGTAATGACTAATATCTCAAAATAATGACGTGTTTAAATATCTCAACATAATGAGTTTAATTATCTCAGAATATGAGTTTAATTATCTCAGAATAATGACACTAATATCTCAAAAAATGACCTAATATCTCAAAATAATGACCTAAATATCTCAAAATAATTGATTTAATATCTCCAAAGTAATGGTAATATCTCAAAGTAATGAGTATAATCTCAAAATATGACCTAATAATTCTCAAAATAATGACCTAATAATCTCAAAATAATGCCTAATATCTCAAAGTAATTTGAGTTAATATTTCAAAGTAATGACCTAATATCTCCCAAAATAATGACTAGTATTCCTCAAATAATGACCTAATATCTCAAAATAAATGCTTAGTATCTCAAAATAAGACTGTAATATCTCAAAAATATTGACTTAATATCTCAAAATATTGACTTAATATCTCAAAATAATTACTTAATATCTCAAAATATTGACTTAATATCTCAAAATAATGAGCAACTCTCAATATTTTGACTTAAGGTCTCGAAGTATTGACTTAATATCTCGAAATCATGAGAAACTCTCAATATTTTGAGTTGGTGTCTCAAAATATTGACTCAGAATATCAAAATGTTGACTTAATATCTCGAAATTTTGACTTAATATCTTAAAATAATGAGAAACTCTAAATATTTGTACTTAGTGTCTCAAAATATTGACTTACTATCTCAAAATAATGAGAAACTTTATCAATATTTTGACATAGCATCTCAAAAATGTGACTTAGAACGTCAAAATAATCAGAATCACAATCACATTTGTAATTTGTAACACATACAAGGAATTTGACTCCAGGTTTATGTTGCTCTCAATGGACAAACACAGACTAACAGCATAAATAAACAGAACAAGTTCAACAAAAAAAAGACATAAAGTTATATGTACAGTTATACATATCTATAAACAAATATTGTAGACAGTAGATAATGAGAAACGTTCTCAATATTTTGACTTTTATCTCAAAATAATGAGATGATGAACTGAGAACTGTTCTCTTTATTTTGAGATACTAAGTCAATATTTATATATAATATTCTCATTATAATGACTTCCACAGTCTTTTTTTCCTGTCACACTGGTGGAAATGGGCTTCCATAGGGAAATACATGCAAAGTGTGGCCCGCTGAGGATGAAAATACAAAGATGAAATGAGATACTTTGTTTTGAAATTATGAAATCATGATCATATTTGATGTAGTAAGTCAACATTGCCACTATTTTGACTTAGTAGGTTGCTTTAATGAGTTAATATTGATTTAATGTAGTAGGCCTATCTCATATTTTTTACTTAAATAAATAAAAAATTGTAAATAATAAGTCAAAATCTTAATTATAATAACATTTTGTATCCAAATTTTACTTATTTTTTTATTTAATAAGTGAAACATTTGACTTGATATCTGGTTATTTTGATTTTGTGAGACAATATTTTGACTTACTATGAGTGTTTTTACCCTGCCTGACTTTTTGTCTTTGATTTTCTGGTTGAGCAGGCTTCCGTAGTTTCCATTACACCAGCTTTTAATATAATATGGTAAAACATTTCTGGAGTGCAGACTATCAGGCGACAAGTCAGGCAAATCGACTGCAATAAGATTGTGGCACATGTTTGTTTTGTATGAGTGTGCTACACATGAGTGGGCGTGAGAGAGATCAGTATAATGCATACTTCATCCGTGCTGTCAATGCTGATTTGCATTGGAAGCCTCTGTCATGATCTGCCAAAGCTCAGTAACATGTTTGCATTAGAAGCTCTCATACAGACACTCAAACAGAAACACTTTCAGTATTGAAAGATTCAACTGTTTGAGAATCTGATGTCTTCAAACAGAAAATTAATTATATGTTTGGATACAGGAGAAAGATAACTGACACCTTTACCTCTTTGCACAAGTTTTTACTGAAAGATTTCTTGGATTTGCTTAAATCAACAGGTTAATATTTGTCATTCCAACTATGAAAATATACAGTTGAAATGAAATATCACACCTTTGCAACCGGAGGATAAACAGACAGAAACATAACATTTATAAAGTGCATTAACATATAATTTAAAAGAGCCAAAACAAACAGCAATACAACAGAAACATCACTGAATTAAGGCGTCAGAATGAGCTCCCCATGAGGTTTAAACTACACTGCTTCTAAAGAGTAGCTGTATTGTAGTGTTAAACATCCCTGTCAGGTAATGAAAAGACACAGAGGACACACAGGAAGGTTACACCCTGTGGTTAAACTTTCTCCATGACCACATCCAGGAATTCAAATGATCGGCGGATGATTCAGCCTGAAGAGCTCTGTGGCCAAACCATGTGAGAGAAATGAATAGCACATTAAATTTACAAATGATGTGATTGTGGGCTTCATGAAAAGTTTATATTAATAAAAAGATGTATATGCGTTATGCTTATTACACAGGCGGCAGAATAATCCTAACTGACTGTATGTGACGCACATATGGAGAGATATTGAATCAAAATCAATGTCTTTTCATGTTGTTATAATCAGAATTAGTTTTCCCTCAAGTGAACCATCATGTTGTCAATGGTTTTATGTATAAACGGGATGGGAAAGGGTTGAGATGCGGTCAGAATTCATCTCCTAACTTTACATAGGATTTCCATTGCAGATGGCCACTGCATCATGCAAACTAGTGCCATATTTTTTTTCTAATCTGCTCTAAGTGAGCATGGAAAGATTTTCCACACATGAGCAGGAGAGGCCATCAGGTCAACAGTTTAAAACCCTTTTTCTAATTTAATAATAATCAGCTGATTTAATAATTCAAAAATATGACAGATCAGACCAAGAGGGGGGATGTGTTGGGTTTTCTGAATGGAGAGGGATGTGTATTGTTGTTGCCATGACACCACCCTGCCACAGTGCCTCCCTAAGCAACAGAAAATGTTTTGACTCCTTCAGGTGAGGCTTGTCAGCACTCGGATGCTCATTATGTTCCACAGAGATCAGGGCCTCCAAGTGGGACCTATTAGTGTGTGTGTGTGTGTGTGTGTTATACAGGTAAAGCTGCGGTTGCCCATCTCAGAGACGTTGTTCCAGATGAACAGAGATCAGCTGCAGAAGCTGGTCCAGTATCTGATCACAGCCCACCACACTGAGGTGCTGCCCACTGCTCAGAAACTGGCCGACGAGATCCTCTCCTCCAACTCTGAGATCAACCAGGTCCATGGTGAGAGGGCAGCCTTTGTGGCAAACTTTTATGTTCATGTTAGATTGATTTCAAATAAAAATGTTCGTGATTGTGTGATTTTCAGGGCAACTTTCATCCACCAAATCCATATAGAACCCATTTCGTCTTTTTAAAGTCATAAATGCATGGCAACGGAAAAGCTGTTGTTGAAAAGTTGACGCGCTGTCTATCCCCTCTGCAGCGATATCTTCACAGCAACAGGCCACACTTAAAAGCTTCCAGACTTAAAACATGCTGCATGCTAGCCTACAAGCTGTCATACGTCAGAGCCCTGATTACTCCAGCGAAGCAGCAAGACAGACTTCAAATGGCTCATTTGATTTTTTTTAGCTCCCACTCTCCAGCGCCTACGTCCTTCCAGTGGCAGGAGTTTGTTTGAGAAAGCAGAAAAAAGTGAGAGTTGAATGGTGAAATGGACCGCAGGAGAAGGTAGACAGAGAGATGTGTGGAAAGGAAGAAGGAAAGGGACACTGACAAGAACAGACAGGAGAAATGGCACTTGGGGAAATGGGGGAGAGAGAGGAGACGGGAAGGAGAAGAAAGATGAAAGCCCCCGAGAAAGTATAAGATGAAAAAGAAGAGAACCACAACAGACCTGCATCGGAGGAACGACAAACTAGACACATCCTTTCACCAAACAAAACTCTTTATCCGTTTCTCTATTTCATCCTCCTCGCTAAATGTTGACATTCTCCAGCTCCCCTGTCCAGGAAGCCCCGCGCCGTGTTTCCTGTCTGTGTTTGACAAGGGGGATCATGGGGGTTGAAGTTCAGTCGATCCAGGAGCGAGGCTTTCTTTGATGGAGGAATGTTGCTGTTTGCTGTTGCGTACTCCCAGCCAGTTGGAAACACATCTCTGGGCTTTCCTCAGCTCGCTTCCTGCTAGATCAAAGCAGCTTCCCCCCTTCTGAGCATATCTACATTTCCCCGTAGTATTACTCAGACACACACACCCAGCGCTGAACAGAAGAAAAATAAAGTTGGCCTCATATTCCCTTAGTGCATGATTAGCCTAAATCGTGAAGCTTTTCTTAAGTGTCATATATATAGGTGTACTATAAGTTAAATGTAAAACAAATAGGTATGAGAGCAGTGAGTATCAGTGAAACAAGTCAGCAGAGATTTAGATTAATTCAGAATTACTGTTTAATTTAGGTTAGAATTTTTTATCTCCATGAGCTCTGAGGATATCTGGAGTGACATGTTGGGATCGAGCTAAGGAAACTGTGTTTTTGCAAGTGAGGCTGTCTAAAAGTAAACTCCATTTCCCATGGTCACCATCTGTTTATTTTTTTTTTTGTTGGAGTGCGAATTGGGAACAGGAAGGAACGGAGTGACTGAGTGAATATACAGACTGTACTCTGTTTACAGCAGCTTTGATGTGGAGAGAGGGATGTTAATGTTAGATTGAAATTGTGACTCCAGGTTCCGTTTTGGTCAGTTTTTCATGTGTTTTTTGTTTTTTGCCTGCATATGTTTCTATCATTGTAGCTTTGTGTGTGCCTGTCATTTAATGTGTGTGTGTGTACTCCCAGGTGCTCCGGACCCGACTGCAGGCGCCAGCATTGACGATGACAACTGCTGGCATCTGGACGAGGATCAAGTGAGGGAGCAGGTCAAACAGTTTCTGTCACAGGGAGGATACTATGGCTCTGGGAAGCAACTCAACTCCATGTTCGCTAAGGTATCCATCTCTACTTCCTGTTTCTGCTCCATTATATGGCTGGGATTTATCTATCAATTTTTATTATCATTATCATCACCAAGACACCGTAAGTAAGATAATGGTTCATTTGTTCATCCCTCAGCAGCTGCCTTTCCGTCAAGGCCGCTGAGCAATTAGAAACTGCACTAAAATATGTTACTTTGTCGCTATGATGAGCCTAGCCCTCCACTAATTAAAGAAATTCTTTAATTCAGTAGGACGTTGGTTTAAGGAGATTCTGAGACAGACTTAAGTTTTAGCGAGATATGTCTCGTGCTCCACTCTAAAGCAAATGAACGCTATCAGATTTGGACATAGACATATTTTAAAGGGGTATGGTATGGGTCTAGCGCCCAAAAAATCCTATCTTTCCCATAATGCAACTTAATTGTGTATTACATCAGCCTGATAAATTAAACCACACACCTCTGTAAATAAAGTACATTTAAAGAGTAAAAAAAATGTCAATACTCCAATCCAAGATGGAGTCATCTGTGAACTATTAGTAAACTCATTTTCATGTGTAAAATGGTGAAATGCCCCTTTGAAATGATAAAAATGATGTACAATTTTTGTCACAATGTAAAATTTAATCAGAATGTTTTCTTACACCTTTTCTCCTTTGTATTGAACCCATTACTTATTCTATACTACCATGGTATAAAGGAATTGACAGGAATTTATAAATACACTTTTCCTTTATCTGAGAGAAGCAAGGACACTTAAAACAGACCTATAATCTGTTATGTCTTAGCTTTCGATTTCAGTGCCAAACGGTTTCTTTTATTTTGTTTTAAATGGCACTCAGAAGATTTTATAACATCTTAAGTGTAACCTAACTCTTTGGCTTTCTTGCTGGCAGCTGAGAAGATCAATATAACTCTTATATCTGTTTGTTCAGTATGAAGCTGGAGCCAGGAGCAGGTTAGCTTAGTTTAGCAAGACTAGAAACCAGTGGAAACAGCAGTGTGTTTATGTGTTTGTAAAGTGTTTTTTCCTCTCCTGAAATACATTCTGATGAGCAAGGACACACATCAATACCAGATGGAAGAAAGTCAAAGTGTTATGGATTACATACAGTGACTAAGCCTGTGCACGCTGGGTCTTTCCAGGTGAGGGAGATGCTACGAATGCGAGACTCCAACGGCGCCCGAATGCTGACGCTCATAACGGAACAGTTTATGGCAGACCCCCGGCTGTCGCTATGGAGACAGCAGGGCACGGGCATGACGGACAAGTGTCGGCAGCTCTGGGATGAGCTAGGTAAGACCAATCAGACAAAAACAAAAACACGTTATCAAAATGACTGAAGCTGGCCAGTCAGGTAGTTGGTTCATCAGTCACTGTAGGGAAAACAGAGGCGTCCAGTCTGTCAGTAACCCTGACAAATCAGCAGTCATCTTGTCGGGTAAATGTTCATCCAGTTAGTAAGCTATTAGGTCATTCACTCGGTAGCTTCTCCTTCTGCTCGGGCCTCTCTTTTCTGCCCCCCTCTCGCTCCTTATACAGAGTGAATGATAAAGGCTGCCGATCAATACGGCTGCTCAGCTTCTCTGCAATCAATCTCTGCATTTAGGAGGTCAATGAGAACACTTCCTGGGTGAGCGAGGGAGATCATGACACAGACATTGACAGAAATAACAGCCAGACAGTCGGGGTTTGCTGCCTGATCATTTTTCCCAGAGATGCAGACACCTGACAGGTGACCCAGCTCGAGGTCTGTGCATGTAGAACAGGTGAGAAGCTGCCTGTAGGTATTATCAAAATAATTTTGATTCATACAATATTACAACTCTGGCTTTTATAAAGGCTTTTGGGACTTTGTGAAAGCTGATGCACAATATTTAATTTATGGAGTTGAGTCTTTTTGGAAGCAGTGTTGAAGGTGAAAAGATAGATTTTATAGTCGGGACTACAGAAGCTTTATTTTATGAAACATTCAGAGGTATTCCCTAGACGTAATGGCATGGTTGTGGTAGTTACCAGTGCAGTCTTAGAAACAAAAAGCAGCATATTCTTCATGTTTTCAGGCATAAAAACATGACTAAATGCATATCTTTAACATGATTTGTCTTGTTTTTCTGCTCTATTATTTGTAGCTAGTGTTTCGGATTCAGCCTTGGTGGGCTTTCTTGAGTATGAGATACATTTTTCAGGCTCTGAAATATCAGAAAATAGTGTAAATGCCTATTGAAAGTTCCCAGAGCCCAAGGCGCATCTTGGATTAGCTTGTTTTGTTCAATCAACAATACAAAACCTAAACGTATTCAATTTACTATTATACCAAACTGTATATGTATGAATTCATTGTTTTTTTTTAATTAATTGTACATGTCGGGATTCAGTCTTAAACTGTCTGACTGTAGCATTAGAGAATTCAACCACCTCTCATCATGGCTGACAGTACAGGTCAAATGGTCTTAAACAGCACTCCACAACCTCTGCTTCCTTTGCATCCTGACCTCTAACCACCAATCTTTTTTCCCCAGGTGCATTGTGGGTGTGCGTGGTGCTAAACCCCCACTGTAAAAGCGAGGAGAAGAGCAGCTGGCTGAAGCAGCTGAAGAAATGGGGCGACATGGATGTCTGCCCGCTGGAGGACGGCAACTACGGCAGTGAGCTTCCAAACATCACCAACGCTCTGCCGCAGAGCAACCTGGCACAGGGTCAGCACCGGCGCGCGCACACACCAATACTGTGTAATCAAAACTGGAACACACACCGGATTTAATCTGAACTTGAACATTGTGGATATCACTGACCGTGTGAGTGTTGTTTTTCTCAGACTCTCTGTCCAGACCGAGGAGGACGGTGTTCAGTCGGGCAGTTGAGGCCTGCGACCTCCACTGGCAGGACAGCCACCTCCAGAGGATCATCAGCAGCGACCACTACATGTCTCCATCCTACCAGAGAGAGGGGGAGAGCCTGCTGTTCAACCCACAGGGCCTACCACTCTGGCTAGGTACACACGCAGATACACACATGCACAGTGGGATTATTTTACTCCCCAAAAAGTCAACTTTCTTATTTTGACTGGTTATGCTAGTTACACCTCAGTGTCACTGAAACTGAAAGAGTAATTCATTATTCATATCCAGAAAAAGGCGTATTCTGATTTATTTTGTCAAATAAAACTTTCTTATAGCTACAAACATGTATGGAACAACACGCACACAATTTCTGTATTACAACAGTATAGAAACACAGGAGGAATGACAGTGTTTCTGTGGCACTTCTATATACACACAATCTCTAATTCCACTGAAAGTCAAGCTGACACACACACACACACAGTAATTCTGCTGATATTGAGGCCAGTATCTGCAGTAAGCAGCTTCCAGCTAAGATCTGTCAGATTCTGCAACTTAAGCCAGCTATCAGACACACACTGGCGTTCTGCTGAGACTGCACAGTGTGTGTGTGTGTGTGTGTGTGTGTGTGTGTGTGTGAGAGAGAGAGAGAGAGAGAGTGTGTCTTTGCCTTAAACTACATCCTATGTCACACAGTGTGTGTATAGAAGAAAAATGCGTGTCTGTGATTGTGTAAAATGCTTTTGTGTGTGTGTGTGAAGCTGTCCTGACTCCACCTTCTCTCACTGTCGACCACACAGACCACGTCCCGACAGCATGCGCTCGCGTCGACGCCCTGCGTTCCCACGGTTACTCCAGGGAAGCCCTGCGATTGGCCGTCGCCATCATCAACACGCTCCGCCTCCAACAGCAGAGACAAATGGACATCTACAAACACCAAAAGAAAGGTAAAACACACCACACACACACATAAATATATATATATAGAGATAGAGCCTGCTGTTAAGTGTTCTGAACCAATCATTTTAATGGTTGTCCTGCTTTCCCACTCTCTTCCTCTGTCAGAGCTTCTCCAGAGGGGTGTGACTTCCACCACCAACCTGGAAGGCTGGGTGGGTCATCCCTTAGACCCGATTGGCTGTCTGTTCACCACACTTACTGAAACCTGCCGTGTGGACGACGACAACACCATGGACACCGGAGGTACGGAAACAAAGATGTGGCTCTCTTTCACCTTTTTCTCTATGAAAATTGTAATGAGAAATCATAACTCTGTGCCAAAAACAAGAACAGTAAGACTCGCTTTAATGCTCTAGAAGTTGTTGTAAGTAGTCACTTTATTAACAGGCCAAAAGGCAGACACGCTTGATTATTTCCCCTTGTGAATTTAAATACAGTTCCTCATGACTACTTTTATTTTGGTCCATCATTTAGCAGTTAAGTGTCTTTTGCTTGCAGACTTTCTGCAGAGTGAATGGTGTGAAATCATTTCTGGTGCACCAACAAACTGTCTAGTTTTATAATGTGCTTCTGGTCTTAATAGAAGATTATGAGATGGCTGGTCATGAGTTAAGGGTTTGGGCATAGAAAGGACTCAGTGTCTGGAGTCTCCCATTGGTCCCCTTTGTTCTGTACAACCTCAAGGACTGGGACACAAAAATGTACAGTGGTAGCTTTCATTTATTTTTTGTATTTTTTTTATTTTTTTACTTTTAAATGGTAGGCATTTTGACCCCTGCTCTTTACCATGGTCACATCATTAGTGAAGCTGAGAATAAGCTTCAGAGCTTCATTATGAGCCGCAACTAGCAAAGAGTGCTGGCCAGAGCTGCAGCCACCAAATAATATTCATCTCTTATAGAGACAGGAAATATGACGTACATTAGAGGTAGCAAGACACAAAACTATTTATTTATTATAATAAAATGTACTTTATTGGTAATACATAGTGTTGAAACCATTAATCATGTAATATAATAAATGCAATTCTGATAATTATTAGTTTAAGTCATGTTTCAGTCAACAAGACTAAGAACCCTTATGCTTGCTATAAGGCTATCTTTAGGCACAGCAGTGTCACTGTGAGCATGCTAACATGCTCACAGTGACAATGCTAACATGCTTATGTTTAGCAAGTTTAATGTTTGCCATCTCAGTCTAGTGTGTATCCATGCTAACATTAGCAAATTAGCACTAAATACCAAGAACAGCTGAGGCTGATGAGAATGTCATTAGTTGAGCAGGTATTTGGTCGTAAACCAAAACTACCAACCATTTGCTGGTTCTGGTTTCTCCGATAGGAGGATATATAGTTTGGGTTTTGGACTGTTGCTCAGTCAAAACAACCCATTTGAATCACCTTAGAGATTTTCAGACAATTAAATACAAACTGATTAATAAATAATCAAATGAGTAGGTGATAATGGAAAACATTGTTGGTCGCAGCCACAATAATGCAGATATTAACATCCAAATCATTCTCCATCTGCACTGCCATTGATGTTCTAGCTAACCTACTGTCCACTAAACCTACAAAGTAAACTAAAGCATGTACTTCATCAAAATAGATCCTCATCCATGAACCTCCTCCCTGTCTTTTCACACTTGCCAAAGAGGATATAATTCCTGGCACACTTGACCAGCTGATGCAATGTAATCCTGAGCAGAGGTGATCGCACACACCAGCAGTGACTCATCAGACAACAGACTTTATGTTCTTATATCAGGACTGGGCACGATTGTGCTGCAGACACAGCCATAAACTAGCAGTGAATGAACGGATCGGGCTGGAACAGCCTGCTCATTTAGACCACACTCCTTTTGTATGTGTATGTGTGTATGTGTGTGTGTGTGGTATGTATAGAATCCATCACCATTTGCATTTCTCACCCTGCCCAGGGCCTTTTTTTTCCTCTTGTGACCATTGCAACAGAGCAGAATAGGGGTTGGGTTTTCCTATTGTCACCAGGCTACAGGGAACTATTGTCCGTTCAAACAATGCTGACCACTGGCACACTCATTGGTCTCTGTGTGTGTCTGTGTGTGTCTGTGTGTGTGTGTGTGTGTGTTGGCGATGGAGTGAATGATCGTCTTATGTTGTTTTGGGAATTTGAGGAGAGTGGTATGACTATTTTGCATGTGTGTCTATGGCCTGGTCACCATGCTTTATTTTCCTCTGGAAGACAGCTGGGAACATCTGTTAGAAGAGGGGCGGACCCAGACTATGTGTCGACCAAACAAAATGCAGTTTTCTCTCTGGCCTTTTCAAATCAACCAATCACTCAACAGCCCATGGATAAAGAAAGATAAAAAATTAGCCCTGGGGTTAAGTCTGTAAAATCAGTGTCCACTTTTCCCTAGATTTCCTCACACCCACACACATACACACACTCTTACACACATATCCGTGGAATAAACAGGATTGAGGGGATCTATTGCTCAGAGGGGATTTAAGTAGAATGATGGGGTGGGGGAGCAAGAGAGAACAAATGGGCACCAATCAACAGCTGAGACTCTCATGGCATCTGTTCTCAATTATAGCTGCCGAGCATTTGGTGTAGGGTTAGCGGCCATCTTAGATTAGTGATCACAGTCTAGTAGGAATGCCATCTTTATAAAATGTTACACACAGATTTAACTTTTTTTTTTCCAAGTCTGTCTTAATACAATACACACATGCTAATATATACAATGTTACCATGTCTGGCCCTGAATCCATCCCTCCCTAACTTAACTACACTGTAAGAAAGAGAGGGGAAAAAACACATCCTTTATTGCAAAAAAATGCAAAAACAGTAATATGAGGCTTCAGCCAAATCAAAAGGCTAAGTCTTTTTACTACGGACTGTTATCTTGCAGAGCTGTGAGGAAGGATTACGTCCTGGTGCATGTACTTTGACTCGATTTGACTTGAACATAAGCCTCATATTGGCTTCAAATTGTGCCATTTTGGGATGGGTCAAAATATATTTTTTGGACGGGTTGTGAAAATCTGGCCTACTATTTGTGCTTTTTGTCGTGGTTTCCTGCAACAAAGCGTTGTGATCTCAATGCACATATGGGCATGTGGGTGTTGCGTTAAGATAGACTTAAAAAACCGAACCTCTTTTGTATGAATGTGGTTGGTAAATCCCCTGCCACTTTACAGCCTTCAACACATCGTAACTTGACTCTTTGTTTTGCAGCCTCTTTGTCTCTGCTGTGTTTGCTCTCTTCCTATACAACCAGTGGAGGTGACATTAATGAATTAGGTGATTGAAGCCAATTAACCCGCCACACGGAGCACAAAACACTAAATGGCTTTCTTTCTTTCTCTTCAGAAGGTGACCCCAGGCCTCCGGTCTACCACCATGTACCAGTTTGGGGCAGTCCTGATGGAGGGGAGTCATACCTGACTTTGGCCTTAGAGGTGGCTCTGATGGGTATGGGCCAGCAGAGGATAATGCCAGAGGGCCTGTATGCTCAGGATAAGGTACGGTAGTCCTGAAATACACACTGTCACATGCCACATTACAACATAATCCAAGTTCTCAGATGATAAACTGATTTAAGAGAAAACAGTAATGCTAGGCTGCTTGCAGTGGGTAAGTAGACTGCATTTATGGTTGGTTGCATATTAAAACAGGCGGTGTGAATTTGTCTAGTGTAGACAATGTCGCCATGATAGAAAATCACTATAATTAAACGTCTGTGTGAAGTAATTGCCATGCAAAAAGAGAGAAAAGGTCACAGCATTTTGTTTCCTGAAAAACAAGCAGAATGTCGCCGTACTTAGGTTCACTTTGAATTAGAATAAATCCAAGGAACATTTCTTTGTCTGAATGGTAATCTGCTTTAGTGCTTAACATGGCTGCCATAGAGCTCTCTTAATGTCATGGGAATAAGCAAAATATTAATGTTTCATGCAAGGCAAGTTTATTTGTGTAGCACCTTTTAACAAAAAGGCAATTCAACGTGCTTTAAATAAGGCATTAAGGCATCAAAAAAAGATATGACAGAAACACGGAGCGATATAAAAAGACACACATGTCTAGGATTTGAAAAGAATTTAATGTTTTAAGTCAGAATTGTATTTAAAACCAAAGAAAATCTAATTTCCTAAAGGGACCACTCAATCATAAAGAATCGGTCACTGTCCTGTGTACTGTAATGGTAGATACACACCAATGCAAGAGTGTGAGGTATTAAAGCACCCTGCTGGTCCTTTAATACCTCAAGCTCAAAATCCCTCCTTTAAAGGGTATTTAAACTTCAAAGTGCTCAGTTATTTTCTCTTGTTAAAGTTATAAATCATGGATCTCAACCTATTGCATGTATATTCTTGAATTGTAACATGATCTCATTGACAGTAGTGATATAAACATAGTCTATTTGCATCGGAACTCTCATTTTGGCACGTTTTCTTCTCATCTTAATCTATACTAAACAGAACATTTACTGTATGAGCACAGTGAATAAGATGTGCATTCTGAATATGTTCTAGGTGTGTCGTAATGAGGAGCAGATAGTTGTAAAACTTCAAGAACTGGAGCTGGATGATCTCCTGGTTCAGACTCTTCGGAAACAGGCCATACAGCTACTAGAAGGTACAACAACGGCATTTTCTCAGGATACTTTCTCATTTTCTTCAAGTTCTAAGATATTTCTAATCACACTTTTTTTTTAGTACTGATCATTAAATCCTAGTTTGACCTGTAGTGTTACATCCAGGCTGTGTAGACAAGACCACGACCTGGTATATGATGGCATTCACATTGTGTATAAACCTATTCTGTCTCCCTTTTGGTCTAGCTGGTCCGTTCAGTGGTCTAGGTGAGGTCATCCACAGGGAGAGTGTTCCCATGCACACCTTTGCCAAGTACCTCTTCTCTGCCTTGCTGCCACATGACGCAGACCTGGCGTATAAGTTGGCTCTCCGCGCCATGAGGTCAGTTCCCCAATTCAGTCAGTATTTCACAGCTAGAGGTTAAAAGAGCTGTGTGCTGCATATTTAAACATGAATGCACACTCTGTGTCATAGCCTCACTGTAAAGTGGAAATATATGAGACCATGGTCTAAATGACTGGCAGCCTCTGTTTTAAGACACGGTTAGTTACTGTTGATTCATCATAAAACAGTTTCAGCAAAAACTTAACATAATAACAGTCTCAATTTAATACTGATGCCTCTATATGACCTACATGAACAAACAAGACCATCAGTGACATGACTGGCTATTTCTATACAGTTATTCTTATTGACTGACACCAGCTCGGATTCCCCTTGAAATCAACGAAACAAGATGGTTGAAATACTAGCCTTAGCCTTTGTCTAAAGGGCCACTAAAATGAACACAAAAGCTTTAATAAACTGTTAAATTGGGTGTGCAGTGGTAGTAGAAGTTGCCAATCACCTATGCTAATGGTCTCATTTGTTTTAGGTATTTACACTACTGTGTAATGTGATCTAATGCCACACACTACCTGTAAGTGAGAGTGAATTTGCTGTATTGTCTATAAACCAGCTGACTTTTAGAGTATATGTTTCAATGATGAAATTCATTCTAGATTGAATTTGAACTGACCTTTGACCTTTTGATTTGATGAAAACCAAAGACACGTGTTGCAAAACTAATGTTGAGTGTTTCTGTCAGGCTGCCAGTGCTGGAGTCCTCAGCAGGCTCCGGGGACGTGGGCCACCCTCATCACGGCATCTCCATAGTTCCGAGTAGATACCCGCGCTGGTTCACACTGGGACACCTGGAGTCCCAGCAGTGTGAGCTGGCCTCCACCATGCTCACTGCTGCTAAAGGTACTGTTAACAACATCTGCATACCCACAGCTGCATTCACAGTGTGCCTTCAGATGGTTCTCTTCACAGTTCCTGTTTGATCTGATTTGCATAATTGCTTTTTGTTGCCTGCAGGTGACATGTTGAGGTTGCGGACGGTGCTGGAGGCAATCCAGAAAAACATCCACTCCTCTTCCTTAATCTTTAAACTGGCCCAGGACGCCTTTAAGATAGCCACACCCGCGGACAACCCGCCTGATATAACCCTGCTCAACGTGGCACTGGAGCTAGGACTGCAGGTACTGAGTGTGTGAGAGAGAAGTTGATGTATGAGGGCAAGTCAGGCATTTCCATAAAGCATTCCACCACAAAAAAAAAAATCTGAGCACCGGTCACCAGTCAAAACATGCAACAGTTTCCTTGAACTTGTAATTTCTGCAGGCCTCCACGGCCTCACTACAAATTAACAGAGAAAACATCACACAGTCTCTTACCGTTGCTGATGGGAAGAAACCACATAATTAAACCTTTTGGGTTCAACAGTAAACACTGAAAAAACTCCTCAGATGATCTAGACTACAGCTTCGCTGCGGGTTCTCCCACCTCTCTCTCCTGGTATTTAGAGTATCGGCTAAATTCCTGTCAGCAAAAACGGCTAAATAAGTGCTCAAAATGGAAGGGTCTCAATTAGTCATCTGTGTAATTATAAACACATTTTGGATACATCTGTCACCACTGGAGACGTGCAGTGTTATAACTGTTAAATTATAAAAAGTATTTCATGTTCACATAAAATGTTCAAAATTCCTTCAAAAACTGACTGAATGTGATAACTGTTCTCATTCCCATTGTACCAAGAGGCAGGATTAGCTAACTTGTTGCCCACGTGTGTTTTGCAGGTGATGAGGATGACTCTGTCCACACTGAACTGGAGAAGGAGAGAGATGGTTCGCTGGCTGGTAACCTGTGCCACTGAAGTCGGTATGTGACGCCTTTTCACACACGCCAGTAAAACACGATTCATGGTCTAATTATGCCCTTCGTAGTGTCTTCAGATCTTCTCTTTGGTCTGCTGTGATGCATTTTATTTCAGCTTGAAGGCTGACTTTGACTTTGAGATACACATGGGTTACAGATTAAATGGAAAACCAAGAAACGCGTCATTGGGCCACCACAAGCCTCAGAGCAGCTTCAGTGCTCGTTGTCAAAGATTATTCAAGCCCCTGAACTCTGCTGGAGGGATAAACTTATTTTCCCACATTGCCTCATTTGATGTTTTGATGATGGTAGTGGAGAGCCCTAACTGTCCTGTATGGAAGCATCTCTCTCCCCTCTTTTATTCAGGTTTTTCTTTCAATTTAGATCATTTGCTTGATGCACTGCCACCAATAGTAGGCTTTAATAGTGGTTAAAGCCTACTTGTCACATTGCTAAATAGGTGACGCCTGGTGGCACAGTTGTGATTAACCAAAACCAAAACCAAAATGACATTAAAGTAGAGTTGGTGTGACAGTAGACCTGGAATTGGACCTGGTTAAAAAGCAACCTAGCAGCAGCGTTGTGAACTTGTGGATGTTCCAGAGATGATGGTGTATGAGGGGCTACCGCAGTGTAACACGTCTTCAATTTTCTTTCTTATCAGATTCGTTCTTGTAACTGTGGAATAAATTCAAATCATCAAAGAGCTCTTAAAAACGTAGAACCATGCCAGTATCTCGTGATCCACATTCTGACCACAGTAAATGTTGAATCTCGTCTTTGTCTCTCCTCCTCCTCAGGTCTGCGGGCGTTGGTGAGCATCTTACAGAGCTGGTACACTCTCTTCACACCGACCGAGGCCACCAGCATCGTGGCGGCCACCGTCATGTCCCACAACACCATCCTGCGCCTCAGCCTCGACTACCCCCAGCGCGAGGAACTAGCCAGCTGCGCCAGGACCCTGGCCCTGCAGTGCGCCATGAAGGACCCCCAGAACTGCGCTCTGTCAGCTCTGACACTCTGCGAGAAGGACCACATCGCCTTCGAGACAGCCTACCAGATTGTGATTGACGCAGCGTCCACGGGTATGACTTACTCCCAGCTGTTTACCATCGCAAGGTACATGGAACACAGAGGATACCCGCTGCGGTCCTTTAAGTTGGCCTCCCTCGCCATGACCCACCTTAACCTGGCTTACAACCAGGACACACACCCAGCTATTAATGACGTGCTCTGGGCGTGCGCGCTCAGCCACTCTCTGGGTAAAAATGAGCTTGCAGCCATTATCCCCCTGGTGGTGAAGAGCGTGCATTGTGCCACGGTACTGTCCGACATCCTGCGGCGGTGCACCATGACGGCGCCGGGTCTCGCCGGCATTCCCGGGAGAAGGAACTCTGGGAAGCTGATGTCAACGGACAAGGCGCCGCTGCGGCAGCTCCTGGACGCCACGATTTCGGCGTACATCAACACCACGCACTCTCGACTGACACACATCAGTCCGCGGCACTACGGAGAGTTCATAGAATTCCTGAGCAAAGCGCGGGAGACTTTCCTGCTGGCACAGGACGGCCACATTCAGTTCGCCCAGTTCATAGACAACCTGAAACAGATCTACAAGGGCAAGAAGAAACTGATGATGTTGGTCAGGGAGCGCTTCGGCTGACCTTACCCCCCTCACCCCTCACAGGGACCCTCTTCTTGGGAAGTAGTTAAACTTATTTGTTTCTATTTAAGGTTTTTTTGGATTTCTTGTATTTTTACTTCTTATGTTGAGCCATTTGTTGACTAAGTCTTAAGTTTTTGTCCTGTTTTGTTGTTTTGTTTCTTGAATGTGAACCAGAAAGTGTTCGCAGTGCATTGCTCTACTTCATTGAGACTGCAAGAGGGGGAAACGGCTTAAAATGTCAAAGAAACAACAGCAGAAACAAAGCATTTTTCTCCTCCAACTAATGTTAACTCTAGTATGAAAAAGTCAAAAGATTGTGATGGGGAAAAAACAGAAAAGGAACTTTTGTTTTTCGGTGGCACATGACGATTCAAAAACCAAAAGCTTTTGTTGGATGGGGTACTTACTTTGAGCCAGAAGACACTTTCAGCTGGGGTTAAGAAGAAGAAGAGGAAATGGTTTTTCAAAGTGGAAGGAACATTAAAGGAATTAAAACCCACTGAGGTCAAAACACATAGTGTTACTGTCATACCTCGACTGTATTATTCATCAGCTTTAATCTCTCTATCAGAAATTGCCTCTTGTTTCATTCAGGGCATCTTAGAGTAGTGAGGGCAGAATACAGAACTACACGTGTGGTCTCTCTGTAGAATAAGTCAGTACCAACGGGTTTATAAACTTGACTAAAGCCACTCTAGACTAGCTCCTACCCTATACACCTGCTGGTCAGTGCTTTTCCTTAAGATCTATCTTTAGAGGAAGAACCATGTTGCTTCACAGAGTGCATGTTTTCCAATCCACAAGCCTGAGAGTGACATTGTTCAGGCTGATCTAGCTAAGGTAGAGTAGTTGAGGCTCCACGTGCACATATATACAGTATATCTCGTATGTCCTCCTATAAGCTTTTTACCAGTGACAATACACAACTGTGATGAACGGAGCGGTCACAGTATTCCCAGAAATACCACTGCACTGCTGTACAGCTATTTGTGGCCAAAACCATTTAAACCTATAAGACTCCAGTGATCACCCTTTCACTCACTAGATCCACATTTAGTCAATAAGCAATATAAGTCAACTCTGCGCTTCATTTTTATCACCTGGTGGCATTAATTTCACCTTCTTGTATTCTGTTAGGAAGCTTTGGAACCTACTGGGACCTTTTTGATGTCAGTGACTGTTAGTTTCTAACTCTGCCTGTAGCCAAAGTCCCTTTTCCATCTCAAGAACGCAGGAACTTTTAGTTTGTTTCTTTGTTTCCTAGGACCTTTTCACATACCCAGAGCATCACAACATTTTAAGAGCAGAAATCTGGTTTCTAACCCTAACCCCTAGTACTTATTACCAATTGCTGTGAGTTCTTTTATAACAGCCAGAATGACCTAAAATGACATTAGCAGCAAGAGGTAATAATTGCTTAACATCTAAACAATCTTGGACTGATAATAAGGTAGAAGCCCTACCTTGAATATCTTTTCAGATCAAGAGATTTAGTTATTTCAGTTCATTGCGTTTCTACCACTGATAATGTGTAATGTGTCATCATCCAACTCTGCTGTTCCTCAGCTCTATAAAAGCTTTATAGGATCTTTTAGCAATTTTTTATGATTTCCCGCTCCTTATCCTCATTTCCACCCACAGCAGGTAGCTGTTGTCGGCTGCTGTGCACTGGCTGCCTAGCAACAAACAGCAGCCAAAGTTAGCATCTAGCTGGACATAGTGGAGCATTTGGCTGCTACTATGCTGCTAGTGACCATGGACTTGGACTTGTTAGGTGGCCAAAAACACGGCCCCAAACGAATGCTAATGCACCATCTCTGCTAGACGTGTACGCTAGCAACTGTTTGCTAACATGTTAGCTGTAGCGACTTTGTATGATAAAGTCCTAGTTCCTAGCTCGTTCCACTATCCAAAGTTTCCAAAAAAATGACCAATGAATAAGTAATGAGTAATTGCTATAATCTAGTCCCCATCATGGCTAAAAGAAAAATGACCATGTTTCTAAATCTAAATCCTTCCAGTTCCTTGGTCTTGTGAAGGAAAAGGGTCTGTAGTTACTGGAGCGACCTACCTGTGAATGCTACTGGTTGTGATCGTTGTGGACTCTGAAGACGAGTTGTCTTTCTCAAAGGGTTGACACAGTGCAAACACAAAAAATACTCTGTTTTATGACTTGATGACTTCATCCTACATATTTGAGACCACATGCCATGGCACAGGAAGTAGTTTTTTCTTCTCTCCCCCTTGTCTTACCCAGTGGCAAAGTGTTGTTGTTAATGGCAGTATACAGTACAGCAAGAGCTTGAATCTTTACTGGTTGGACTAAACGTCATCGTACGAGCACTTCACACAAATACCTCTTCAGTACGTTCCTGCCTGCTTCAGCATTTATTTATTGATTGTTTGGAAACTTTGTATGACTGAGTAGGAATCGCAGACACACAAACAGAACGCAGCAAATGAGTCCGCCCGTCGATGGCAGGACAGTTAAAGAAAAAGGGTTTTTGAATGGAGGAACATTTTCTTGTCTGCTTTTACATTCCATGAGAGCTACCTTCACCCACTACCCGGGTAGTCAGTCACAACTCTGGGCCTTTTTTGATCCGAAGAAACGCAGATAGAAGAATGACGACAAAAAAAAGGAAAACTGAGCAAAAGAAAGAAAAGAGAGGCTAAACTCAGTTCTCAGGGACATCACTTAAAGAAACAAAACAAAAAGTAGTAGCATTAAGCATTTAAGATATTGTAAATATTAAAGTGTCAATTCAGAAAATTGTAAAGTTATAATTATTTATGATAAGTATGTTATGTGTTTGGTTTTTTTCCCCTTATTTTTATGTTTTTATTTTGGCCGGGGTGTACTTGAACTGTTTTGGACGGGGAATTTGACAGCGTTTTTTGTAAGAGCAAAGACTTCAAGGCATTTCTCAGGTGCTCCTGTGTACATTTCTTTCTGTTTGTTTTTGCTATAATAACTATTATTATTTGTATTTTTTTAAATTTTTTGATTTGCAAAGAAAAAAAAGAATCTGTGTTCCAAAAGGAAGCATGTCATTCGGAGTCGAGGAGAATGAGGAAGGCATTCATTTGTAAACAGATACGTACTAAACCTGACTATGCAGAACCACTTCGATGGTCTTGTCACCTCTTAAAGACCCCCCCTCCCCTCCGAAAACTTAAGTGTGGAAGAGACACCGTGGCCTGAACCACTATTAAAGAAGGGGAGGGGGGGCAAAGGCAAGGCCCAGCATGCTTGTGTTTGGACAATGCGCAGTAGCCAGCCTGCATCCGCTGCAACATTTAGAGGAGACAAAAAAAAATGAAAATGGTGGGAAATGCCTTTCTGACCGATCAATGTACAAAGTTTATTTTTTCTTTACTTCTTTGTTGGTTTTATTTAATCAGGACTCAAGCCTTTAGTGTCTTCTCAGAGGTGTCGAGTCGGGTGGTGGCACTGCAGTGAGACAGAACAATACACAAATGTCAGAGAGTCTGAAACAGCAACTGTATGAACAAAAGAGACGGCCTGTGGATGACCTTGTGTTCATTCCTCGTTGGAACTTGTTTTGGACTTTTTTTTTTTATTGCTTTCTCAACTCCCTCCAGCCTACAACGCTGGCTGAGTTCACCTCTTCTGTCTCATTACCATAGTTTCTTTTTCTAATCTTCAGTTGCTCATCACCTCACTCCCCCTCACACAGGGAGGATTTTGGTTTCAAGCAATGCAGCGATGTGTCAGTGACCAGCTTTCAGCACAGCCACTTCCTCTACTGTCTTACCTTAAAGCGCTTGAGACACCAGTGCACTGCAGCGGCTTTGTGTCTGCACAAAGTCAACTCTCGACAAAATCTGTATTTCCATCTGCTGTTGCTGCAGGTTTCTACAGAACGAGGATAAAAAGAGGTTTAACTACTATTTCTTGGCTGCTACATTAGCATGATAGGTGAAAGCGGGGTGTTGTTTTACCACTTGCTTAAAATGGAAGCTGCCTTTATGTGATGCATTAACTGACAGCGTTACAACAAAGACGTTCCTCCCTCTAGCTTGTTTTTCAGTCCGTGTTAACTGTATCAGCCAGTTTCCTGAGGTTTTCTTATTTTCCCCCTTTCTTTCGTTCAATAGGAGAGTACTATTTGCTGGTAGAGATCTAGTTCACCTACTGTTTCCCAGTTTGTTTTGTTTTGGATTCTCTCTAACTCTAAGGGAAAATTGAAAGTGTTTGTTGCCTCTTTGTGCTACTGATTATGAAAAGGTATTTCCAGTATTTGTTGCCACAGAAGTATGATAGCTTATCATCAACACTTGTTTTTTTGTTTTTTTAATTTGTAATTTTTTGTGCAACTTCTTGAGCTACTGTCTATAAAGCGAGAATTTATTACTATTTATGTAACGCTACTACCATTTTATATTGATTTGTGTTGGAATCTCAGTGCTTTTCTATGAATAAAGTGTGAAACACGTTACAAGGACTTTTTTTATTTGTGTTGAATCAGAACCAAATCTGTATTTAACTATAATTTTGTGGTACTTTAGTGGAGTATTTAAATGTTATCTGTTGTGTGTTCTTTTAGGAAAATATTTTAATTTTTTACTTTTTACTATATTGAACTACTTTAAGCTAAAAATCTGTTTGAATTCCAACACACACAGCCTGAAAACAATGATACATGAATCGACATGATTCAGTCCTTCTTTTGTTATGATTTTGCAGCACAGCTCGCTAGCCTTATTTACTGGATCTGACAGACATTTTACAAATGCCCCCTGCTACAGTAAAAAGCACAGCCTGTTGTCTGTGAATTTTTAATTTTCATTATTTTCAAACCATAATTACGGTCCAGTGTGTAACATTTAGAAGGATCTACAGGAAAAATTGAATGTAAAATTCATATAACTATGAATCCTGTTTTCATTAGTGTATAATCACCTAAATATACGTAGGAATCATGTTTTTGTTACCTTAGAATGAGACGTTTTTATCTACAGACGTAGCAGGTTGCCTTCCGTGGATTCCGCCATTCTGGGCTACTGTAGAAACATGGTGGGTCAACATGGCGGACTCCGTAGGAGAGGACCCGCTCCCTTTGTAGATAAAATGGCTCATAATAAGGTAACACAACCGTTTTTATTTTCAGGGGATTATGCACTGAATATTATGAATATATTATGAATTTAATGTATGAATATTATATTACATTTCTGCCAATAGATCCTCCTAAATGCTCCACACTGGACCTTGAAGGAAAACGTAAATATCAAAACTCTGTTAAATATCAAAATGGTTGTCTGCCCCTTTTAAAGATATATTTGGCCAATGGTAAATGCAGTGACCACCATCATTTCTTTGGTTTTATTTGAATTGGGTCAAAACTCTTTTGAAATTATAATTCTTTATAAATGAAAGCATTTTGCCAGTACTTTACAAAGGTTTCACATTCAGTCACTCAATCTCACCCTAAGCTGGTGGCATCTAATGTCATGGCCACACTAGTGTGGATACATTTTACATTTCAAAACTCTTTGTTTCCACTCTGTTTCTGCCTTCCATCTATACAAAAAAGCCACCATTTACAATTCCAAAAACTGACCTCCTTCTGCAGCATGAATGGGGAAAGGGAGTGTTTCTTTTCAAATATTTTAACATGTGATTATGTGCTAATGTGTAGCCATTACCTTGCGCTGTTTGGAAGCACTTTAAATGCCGTTTCAGTACAGGCAGAGGTGTTGAAGTCAGGGATCTTCTTCACCATTCAGGACTCATGACACCAAGCCATTGGCATCACAACCACCAGTGAGATTCTGAATAAAAGCTGAGCAACCGATCACAAACCTCGAGGTCTTTAACAATTTAGTAAATATGGGCTAAATACAAAGCTTTATTACACAGAATTTGGCTTAAAAAGAAATGATGTGCATTATTACTGTAATCATAATGGAAGCTCTTTACACGAGGAATTGGGAAAAAGAGATCAGTTAATCCCAAATTGTGTTTTTCTCTTTGAGGCAGCTAAGAACGTCAGATAAGTAGATTCTACTAAATCCGGTTGTTGTTGTTGCTGATGTTGTTGTGATGGGTTCCAGTAAAAATCATAACATCATGTGACCGAGGTGGGGTGGCAGGGAGGGGGGTTTATAATTTCAGGGGATCCCTCCTCATCACTGGGTTATAATACGGAGACCATGTCACTGTTTTGACCAATATTTTACACTGAGTTTATTTCTGCTGGTATTATTTTTCTTGTTTTGACCTTTTTCTTTGAATATAAGTTTCCCTTACAATTTAAATGTTTAATTTGAACAGTTTTAATCTGAATTTATTACATCCATTTGGAAAATTTCACAATGGAGATGGCACCTGATTGGATATTTATGTTTAAAAAAGAAAACCTAGTAACTTATGTTTTATTGGTCTATCTGTAGACACCATGAGCCTAAATCCCTTCATATTTTTTACATTTAAATTCCATTCATTTGCCAAATAATAACAATATAATGCATCTATTTGTAAGGCATCTTAAGGGAAAGAATAATTAATACATTTGGTAGAAATTACTATTTTAACTGAAAGTCCTTTTTAAAGGGTATAACCCACTTAAAATAGCCTAAATAACAATCATCCTTTCATTCATACCTTAAAAGGGCTGTAGTTTTTAAACTCATATAGCCCTTAAAATGTACACAAACTGTATATTAAGAGCTCCTGAGATTAAGGTGTATCCAAGGTATTAAATGAATCAATAAAATTTTTTAGTGGTATGGCATGAAAACAAACCCAGATGATCTCTGGCTACCATACCAAACACATTGATATAGATGCAAATATTGGTGTGTTTTCAATGATAAATTAAGGCTTTATTAAGTATATTTCATGTTGCAAACTAACAAATAGATGGTGTTGGCTTCAATAACTGTCCAATAATATCATCCACGTAAAACCTAATTTAGAAGCTCTAATTTGATACTATTAAAAAGGCTCAGTCATTTCCAGGTGGCCACTGTAGTTTTTAGCAAATGTTACTCAAAACAGGAGTAAATAGGGTATTTGTTGGGAACTATTTCCAGCTGCGGATTAATACACATTTGGAGCTCTACTGAGTATTTACAGCAGCAGGACGGTGTATATGCAATCAACGCAACTACTGTGTGTGTGTGTTCATGGTTTGGAAGGACCATGTCACCCACTACTAGTGTGTGTGATGTGTTTTTAATCTTTTTGGGCAACAGTAGAGCCCTATGGCACAGAGGAAAAAGATATATACTTTGACACACACATAATACTTGTTAGTGATATTAATTCATTTATTATTTATTGTTGGTTAAGGTTTGCTGATCAATTACCACAACAGCTACACGTTGTATCCTTTATTGATTTGCCTGCTCAACACTTCAGTTTCAAATGGAAAGAAGGAAAAAAACGTTGAATTCAAACCTCCAAATAATTAAGACTGAGCAGAAGCAAGTGGACCGCAGTTATTAATAAATACAAGAATACACAAAGCTCTAAGCAGCTGAATTAATGTTGATGATGGGAAAAAGCCATTCTTCCTCAAATAAAAGCGGGCTTTCATTCATCTCTGTCCTTTGTGAGGCTGTAGCACCATAAACAGACTCACACACACA